TTGTGAGGCTTTTTATGATTGGAAAAAATGGGAGTGACTGAAATGTCTACCAGTAGAGATATGGTTAACCAAATTGTGGTGTATTTATGTAATTTAAAAAGAGTATGCCGAGTAAAAATCATATGTTCAGTATCATGTTTCAGAAGTTTAATGACATGGAAAATTTCTACAATAAAATGCTACATTAAAAATTAGAACACCAAACTGTATATGTAGTTTGAGCTCAACATATTTTTTTCTTTTAGAAAACCACTGTTCTGGTAAGAGTCGAGAGAATCAATCTGGTCAAGTAATAGAGCAATTGGCAGCCCTCTACCAAGAGATTAGACCTAATCCTAATTCAGCTGCCACCTTCTAGTCATTTCTAGTGAGTGAGATACTGTATGAATTCAGGACCCCCAAAATCACAGGGGAATAAAAAAACCAAACATGAGACAAAGGGGGGGAAACGTAAGTTCATGTGAGAAGATTTCAGCGTAACAATTTAAAATAAATTCTCTTTCTTTCATCATGTTTGGAATGCAAACAGCTACACAGTAGACATTTCCTGAAGCAGCCTGCGATTTTCTTGAATTTCTTAGCCCAAACTCCATAAACCCAGCCCCCTGCTCAATTTGCTGGCAACAATGCCTACCCATTGATGGTGAGTCTGCCACACCACCACATTTAAAAAGCTTTGGAGAAAACAAAGCTCGGAGTACATTACAGAGACTTTCTTTTACTTTGTTTTCTAGCCAACTAATTTATATGACAACGGGATATTTTGTAAAACAATGGACAGTATATACCAAAATATACACTTATTTTGTGTTACCCTGCTGGAAGAGTATTGTGCGTTATGTTAGGTCAACACTGATACATCTACGTGCCTATGAAGCACCAGGAAGCAAACAGTTCATCCATAGACCACAGATGGACCCCTAACCTGGGGGGAAATGAATAACGGGCGTGGCCTTTTTAATCAGTTTTCGGTTTCAACCTGACCTGCTCACGCAATATATAAGATGCAGCCTTGTACCTCTGGCATACACCCACTGTGTCAGAGGATTAATTGCACGTTCCCAGGTTACATACCACAGGCTTGAGTCCTTTGATCCCTCTCACATCACATTTTGTCTAAGCCTCATCTCTGATAGGCGTATTCCTCAGTTATTTCACTTGACAAAGTTTTCAGCAAGGAGGAAGTTAGTGGTGTAGATTTAGCTACGGATCTGAAACTTGGTGACATTCAGGTATTTCATGGATGATGTGCTTTGTATATAGTTGCTGAATAAATGATTGCATAAATCAATTTTAGAGCAGTACAATAATGGGTTTAATTCATTCACTGTGGGACTCGGGAAGATTTTGAGATGAATGCCAAATCAATTTATGCTCAGAAAAAGCATAAAGCTTCATGCTCTTAAGACGGTGGGGAAAGCCTTGACATTGGTTTGAGCTGGTTAACCTGACATTCAGAATATGCAGAAGTATATTAAAGTGCATTGCTTTCTCTTATGGTGGCAGATTGGAATATTGTTTGAATTTTAGCCTCTCTTCCTCCATAGAATGCATATTTTCTTAAAAATATGCCCCCCTCTCTTCAACTTGACACTATGACCAGGTCGCCCCCTGGAAGAGCAGAATCTTTTCACCTTCATGTGGGGCTATTGTAAAGACAAGCCTTTTATGACCAAAGAGAAATCTGTTAGGGTATGTATACCCACTTATGATGGGAAGGTCCATCTTGGGACTAACATCTCATCCCTTACAGCTGCTTTAATCCTTGTGTTTACAAACAGTAGAATCCCTTCAGGAATTCCTAGACTGTCAGGATACACTTAGAATCGCTAGTCTTTCGTATTCACTATACTATTACCTCATGTGTTAATAAAATGGGAGCAGAGTAAGATTATGGAGTATGGCAAACCATGCCCCTCCCCCATCCTCTAATGAAATGTGTTTGCCTGTATCTCACTGCACAATATCCCAACAAGCATGTAAACGTAAACACAGATGGGTGCCTTCCCCATCTTCTTTTCTTTGAGTTCCAAAAAGACAACAGGCAAATTAGAAAGGAAAGCCTCTAACAAAGCCCTACACATCAGGTAAATACATGTTTTAAACTATTGACTTTTTGGAGGAGAGGCCCCTGTTTTCACCATGTAAACTATTCTTGTATCAATAGTGTTGGGGAAATCAGACTGGCTAGAAAAGGGAATTTGGTTCTCTCTGAGTCTCCTGGAACACTCTGGGCCCCGTCTTCCTCCATCTGTGTTTCCAAATAGGAAATCCAATCATTCTCACAATCACCCAAGTTACACAATCACCTCTGACAGCAGTAATGTCTAACATGTGCTCCTTTTTCATAAATTTGATGCCAACTATGTGCCCTGAAATTATGAGGCTCAGGCCACTGATTTTTACCCCATAGTATTTAATGCTATAAATGTGGAAGTTTGTATTTCACAAAATTCAGTGATTCTCAATCTCTGCTTCAAAGAAGACATGAATCTAAGCATGAAATGCATTATTAGATTGCAAACTATTAGACTGTAAAGAGAGATGAATATATATGTATATATATTCTTATTTATGTTATATATACAAGTATAAAACATGTTACCCTCTAAATTGCACTTGTGGCCTGATCCATACAAGTTTAGAGTATAAATGTGTATTTTGTATCTAAAAGACTTTTAATTTTAACATAAATACAGAGAACTGTAAATAAGTCACAAAATCCAGATCAGTCATTGTTGCCATTGTTTATAATGACATTTTTCATAAACAAGATTGTAGGTTGATATTTTTGAAACGTAAGTGGCGACTTTCACAGAATTGCTTCCTCTTCTAATTATCTCATGAACATAGGGACCGATTAGGTACTGAAAAATAAGAGAGAGAGAGAGAGAGAGAGAGAGAGAGAGAGAGAGAGATGAAGATGAAAGGGAGGGGGGAGGGGGAGGAAGAGAGGAAGGTAGGAAATGTAGAATCATTTTCTTTTGTGTATGCCAAGAGCTGGATTTGGGCCCTGAACCAGCATTTATCTTGCCTTCCAAAACCTTCAATGTCCTTTCCTCAGTTCACTTTGACCTGAATGTTTATTTTCTCACACCAAATGCTGCCAGTAAGTTACAGGTTTACATGAATCCTCACATCACATCATTCAGTGCTTAAAGGCAGGGGTTTTTGCATATGGTACTTCTCTTGAATCCAGTGGGCAGTGAGTGATGTTTTCGGGTGCCAGTGGCATCCCGGGAGTGAGTGTGAATGCCCATTTGACTTTAGTGTGAGACCACCGAGGCGCAGGCCTTTTTTTGAACTGGGACAATCGTCCGCGAATGGTACCATCATTCCCAAGTCTGATAGCTTTAACACTGAATGCTGACATGCTAGCACTGCAATGGTAGCTGTTATATTATAATCTCACTTTTAAATGTTTTCTAAGAAGTCCCAAACCAGTCCGTATGGAAACCAGTGACATCTAACTAATTAGCCCTCTATCTAGGAAAGTTATCTTCACAGTTTTTAGCTAAATTGTGATCCAAATCACAAACGACATCATGGATTTTTAAATAGAATCTTTAAAAGGATACCCACATAATCCATCACTCAGATATATCCCTGAAAGGAGAAAATGCCTCTGTCTTTCTCACCTCTCAGTGATATTATTGCATACAAGGCACTTGGAGCTTACAGCCGATTGGTTCGGTGTCCTTATGCACACCATGGTGTCAGTGGGCCAAAGACATGGAGGCCAGTTTGCTTTCTTTGCTCTGTGTGTTGACCACAGACTGCCGGGAGTCCGTCAAGAGACACCAGCACAGGTGAAGAAGGCACAGCGGCAGAACCTCTGCACTTCTCACAGTCCAAGCTCCTCGTGGGACAGGCAAGATGTGTTCCTTCCACACCATCATTTTCGGGAGGAAATGAGAAGGAGCTTGGGGGGCCCCAACATTTACCTCTGAACAAAGCCGGCCTGACATGAATTTTGCATTATAATCCCCCATCATACCATTGATTTGCTGTGGAACTTCATCACCAAAGCAGAGATAATAGGCTAGAAAGAAATGGGCTTACCTCCCAGGGATATTGTGTGAATTAGCAAATTAACGAGTGTAAAGTGTTAGCATTTATGTAAGTGCCGGTGGTTGTCATTATTTCTAGGGACTTAGACTCATTCTAAAGAGAGACTCAAAGTATATTAGGCTTTTGTCAGAAAGGGGTTTTTCACCCACATCAATTGCATTTAGACGGAGCATAAAACAGGTGCTAATAACATAGTAGTGATCACCGCAATGCAGATCTGTAAACCTTTTTCCTATTAAAGCTAAAATGATTTTCAGCAACTTTCAATGCTTTAAAACTTTGCTTTCCAAGCTTTGTGCCACCAGTTATGTCTACAGTGATTATTCTTTCTGTGACGGGCGAGGGGAATGGGACCTATTCATTATTCATCCCCATAATGACTATATAATGTATTGAATTTGTTTACATCATGCAATCAGGCAAAGACTCGGTAGCTGGTTTGATTGCCACATATTGCAATCATTGTAAAAAATTAAAAAATAAATAAAAAAACTCTTTTCTGCTCTGCCCACGCTGGTGTCCTCTAGGTATCCAACATACAGATTGAAAACTCATGGGGAATTGAAGTACTTTCTAACAAAAGACACCGTTACATAGATCCTTTCAATTTAACATCTTTGCCAAGGAATTTTGTTGTCGCCTGCTATTTCCAAGGGGATTGTGCCTGAGAAAATTCTTCCATTTCTTGTATCACTCTGACTTCACTTACCAGGAAAAGTCATTTAGTGCTTGCTGATTGCAGAACTCTTGAACTCAGCCTGGCAGCTGCAGCGTGAACTCCTCAGATCTGGGCTCCTTGTTACTTATTTACATATTCATTTGAAGTGATTTTTCAGGACTGTTTGAAACCCTCTCTCGACCTGACATCGTGTAATAGCTGAGATCTAAAACTCACCGTGTTTTTGGTTCTTTTTTTCTTTGTCTTTCAGATAACAGACGAGTACCTTTGGAAAGGTCACGCTCTCGCCACAATGGAGCTATCCCAGCTAAGTGATTCCTGATGCCAAAGAATATAAAAATACTTAAGTAAAGAAAATCATACATTTTGAGAACAAAACATGCACCCACAGGGATGGAGAGGAAAGAAGCACGTTTCTGCAAAGATCAAGCTAAACCGGATCAAACAGCCTGCATTTCTAAAGCTATTATTGCAAGACTCCTCCTACAATTATACTAATACGAACATAATTACTGGGATTATAAAATGTGTGTTCCATTTTAGTGTAAAGATGTGTATTATTTCTTAGTGCGTGTGACCTGATGGTGATGATGAAAAATTAAGAAATTGAAGAGTTCTAAGGCTTTCAAAAACATTCTGTCTGTCAGAAATTTACTGTTACTCAAATTTGCAGGTCACCCCCCCACCACCACCAAACAAAAAGGAAGAAAAGAGAAAAAGAATAGAAAGAAAGAATTATTCACTGTCTGCTTCTGATTCCTGTGATATAGAAAAGGAAAAGGCCACTGAAAATGTGCATGTTAATAATTTGGAGACGCGCGAATATTGCACATTCTGTAAGAGAAGCCACTTTGGAGACTCAAAACAAGTAACTGCTTCCCAACCCCGCCCCCCACCCCACCCCACCCCCTCAAGTTATTTAGAATCTGATCCCAAGTGAAAGCTGCTGTATTCACCTGCTTTGGCTGAAATTAAACTTAGGCTTCATGGAGAGTTTCAGTATGCTATTGCAGGAACTTATTGCTTAAAGTAAACCAAAGGTTAACAGAAGCAGTTAGAGAGCGTGATTTAAACTTTATTTAGAGAAAGTGATTTAAACTTTATTTAAGGAAGTATTTTCTAATTGTGCACATATACCTGAGCTACTTTATACAAATATTTTATATGGATATTTTTGAGAAAAACCTCACATTTTAATGCTAAGGATGAACCTGAAGATTCTATTACCTTTATTTAGATTTTAAAAGGTAAATATTGATTCCTTATCTCTGTGGTCTATTTCGTCTCTCTATCGCTTTTTTCTCCCATGACCCCCACCCCCCTTGACAACAGGGAATAGAGTTCTAGAAGACCTGAGAGGAAACAGATTTCTCTCTGCAGGAGGCAGCAGAAAACTAAAAGGTCAATTGTTTTATCTGCCTTTCTACTCCCCTTTCCAATTCTGCCTTGGTGGTCTGAAGAAGACAAAGAAATTAGATGTATGTATGTGTGTGTGTGTATATATGTGTATATATTTATATCTCCTGCTAAAATAATTCAACATCCCAGTGAACTTCTCAGGCATCATCAAACTTACTTATATTAACAAATTAAAATAATGCCACCATAAACAACTCTAGGGGGAGAATAAGCTCTACATTTTTCTTAAATCGATGAGAGCGTATGAGTTATACTTGTGTATTATTTGCAAGTATGCATTGAAATAATGTAGTATAACTTTTCTGGAGTGCAATTTTAAGACTAATCCATGCAGATGTTTGTGACAATTGTAAAAGATTCCTTATATGTGTATATAATATCTTATATAGAGAATCCTATCTCTACTCCTCCGAAGCACCTTCCAGACATTCAGAAAGAACAAAGGACTGGCTTGGCAAGTCACCAGCTGAGATAAACAAGTGACCAATAGATCAGTTTCTTTTATATCGATGTCTGATGACTCAGACTGCTGCCTTTGCCTCCAGTGCATTCTTACTTGGGTATTACACTTTAAAAAGCTCTGAAGCTGCTACAATCGAGAACTCAAAAAGGATAACAGTATCCGAGAGTGTAAATCTTAAGACAGGTGCACAGGCACACACAGGTAATTTTAAGGGACATATCCATTTCACACACTGTTTTGAGTTTTTTAACAACAACAAGATTTAGGTTCTACTAATTTATGTAAATGCGTAATGTATGTATTTTTGACTTCAGAAAGTCTTTTCTGAACGCTTCATGGTATGGCTTCTTTGAGTCTTATGATAGCTTTTTAGGATGTAGGGAAAATGATATTTTGAAATAGTAACTATGACTGAAATTTAGGGGCATTTGCCATGCCATATTATCAGGCTGGTCAAGGTAGAAATACTGATGTGTATCACCTTTTCCAGATGTGAACCTGCCTTATTTTCTAGTTTGTGAAAGAGAATGAAGTACTATTACTGATAAATTATATATTTGTATGTAGAGTAATCCCACATGCTTTCGCAAACATTGTGAAGCCTCTTCAGGGTCTTTCATGAAGTTCTGACAATTGAGTTCAGGGGATCACTTCCCAGATTTATAATGATCCTGCTCTAGCCATTTGCAGTTTTGTTTTAGCTAGACAAGTATCACCTCAAAAAGTACATAGTGCCATTTTTAATATAGAACCAAATTGTACTTAAGTCTTTTGTTGGGTTTATTATTACCACATGTGAGAAGCACCAGTTTATGAAGATTTTCTTTAGAATGTTTTTAAGAAGTACAAAACCCTTAAAATGTTTACTAGTTATATTAGTTTCCTTTAGCTGCTATAACCAATTACCACAAACTTGATGGCTGAACACATCAGAAATTTATTCTCTCATGGTTCTGGTGGCCAGATATTCCAAACCAAAGGCCACATTCCCTCCAGAGGCTCCAGAGCAGCGGTTCTCAACCTTTCACAGGGGTCGCCTAAGACCATCGGAATACACAGATTTTCAATGGTCTTAGGAACCGAGACACCGCTCCTCTATCCGTCTCCAGGCCCACATGCAGATACGCCCACATACGAGTACCCAGCAACCCCTGTGAAAGGGTCGTTCTACCCCCAAAGGGGTCGCGACCCACAGGTTGAGAACCGCTGCTCTAGAGGAAAATCTCCCCTTGCCTCTCCCAGCCTCTTGGGGCTGTTGGCATCCCTTGGGGTATGGCCACACCTCTCTCTGCTCCATCTTCACATTACCTTCTCTGCCTCTCTCTCTTTTTTTTTTAAGATTTTTATTGGGGAATTGGGGTATGGGAACAGTGCTGGGGAATTGGGGGAAGGGGAACAGACAAGTTGCTGTCCTTTTCTTCTTCAGTCTATTTATGGAGGATGTTACTTCACTGGCCCAAGCTGGCACCACCATTGCGCTCTTCCCAGGCGAGGCAGATCAGTCGCTGGCTTCTGGACGGTCACTCACTGCGGCTGCTGGCCGCTCACGCTGGCTGCTGGCTACACACGGTAGCCCATGGCAACCCACTGCCCCAGGGGCTGCAGCCTACGCCGTCACCGGCGACTCACAGCAGCCCAGCTCCAGGTTGAGCTGTTGTTCAGCATCTTAGCTGTGGAGGGCAGTGTCACTGGCCCTCATATGTGAGATCCGAACAGGGGCCCTCTGGCATCCCAAGCCAGCTCTTAACCAACGCGCCACTCGGCCAGCCCTCTGCCTCTTTGTTAAAAGGACACACATGTTGGCATCTAGGGCCCACGCAGATAATCCAGGATTATTTCATCTGAAGATCCTAAACTTAAATGCATTTGCGAGGTCCTTTTTTTCCAAATAAGGTAACATTCACAAGTCCTGGGGATTCGAATGTGGATATCTCTTTTTCGGAGGTGACCCTTGGATCACTACCGTCTGCCTCCTGCCCCACCCCCAAATTTAGGTCTGTCCCATATGCAAGATATCAGTCACGCCATCTCAAAATGCCCAAAAGGCTCAACCCAATTACAGCATCAGCTGTAAGTCTGAAATCTCATGCAAACATCATCAGTTCAAAAGTCTGAAATCCCCTCACCTAGATCATCTAAATCAGGTATTGGTGAAATTCCTATGGCAAAATTGCTCTCCATCTGTGGATCAGTGAAACAAGACAGCAAGTCATCTGCTTCCAAATTACAGTGGTGGGACAGGTATTGGATAATAGTGATGGACAGTCCTCTTCTGAAAGGGAGAAAACAGAAAGTAGAAAGGAGTCATCTGTCCTGATGAGTTTCAAAATTCAGCCAGCAAAATCCTCTTACGTTTCAAGGCCTGACTGTAATCCTCTTTGTCTCAGGCCTGCAGCTCTGTCCATTGGTTCATGGATTCAGTCCCTCCCTTTCTGCCCGTGGCTTGCACTTCCTGCCTTCGCTCCCATGCTTGGGCCTCTGCCTCTGTACCTGCAGCTCTGTCCTAGGGGTAATCCTTTATATTGAAGGGTAGCACATGTTTTGTTTGCAGTCTTATCAGCCTGTGTCCTGCCTGTAAAATTTTGGTAGCCTGACAACCAAAAATGTTGTCTTATCTCTGTCCCTTTCAGGCCAACCCAGAAGTGTTTCTGCTGGTATAACACTCTCAAAAACTTTGTGGGCCTCCCATGTATGTCACATTGATTCAATAGTGAGGCAAGAGAGTCCTCACAGATTTTTGCCAGATAACCCCATTTCTACTCCTGGCTTCTATTGAGATGGTTGAGTGGATCCGAGTCAATGCCTAATCTCTCCAGCACAAAGGTTGTCCAGCCACACTGTTGGCTTGATCTCCACAGCACACCACCCTCACAGTGAATCTACTCATTTTAGCATCTTTTACAATCTGAATAGGCTCAACATTTCCTGAGTCATCAAGTGCTGACTCCTTTAAGCTTAACAGTTCTCTCCTCAATTTCTCTCTTTCCTCTTGTATTTTACTATAAGCTCAAGAAGACGCTAAACCATACCTCCAATGCTTTGCTTGGAAATCTCGGCTAAATAACTGGGTTCATCACTTAGACATTCTACTTTCCACACAACTGTTGGAGACAATTCAGATAAACCTTCTGCCACTATATAACAAGGATAAACTTTCATCTGGCTTCCAAAAAAATGTTCCTTAGTTCCTTCTGAGCCCTTAACCAGAAGCACCTTTAACATTTGTATTTTTACCAACAGTCTGTTTAAGGCAATGTATGCTTTTTCTATCATATGCATCAAAATTCTTACAGCCTCTACCCATTACCCAATTCCAAAGGCACTTCCACATTTCTAGGTATTTGATATAGCAGGACCTTACTTCCTGGCACCAAAATCTGTACTAGGTTCCTGTGGTTGCTGTAACATACTGCTCCAAATGTGGTGGCCTAAAACAACAGATATTTATTCTCTTACTGTTTTAGAGGCCAGAAGTCCTAAATTGAGGTGTTGCAGGGCTGCAGTCTTTCTGGCTTCTCTAGGGAGAAACCTGTTCCTAACCTCTTCCAGTTTCTTGTGGCTTATTATTCCTTGGCTTGTGGCCAAATCTCTGCTCTGTCTTCACGTCACCTTTCCCTCCATGTATCTAATCTACCTCTGCCCCTCTCCTATAAGGACGCTTGTGTTGGCATTTAGGGCCCACCCGGTTTATCCATGCTAATCTAATCTCAAGATCCTTAACTTCATTATATCTGTGAAGACCCTTTTCCCAAATATAAGGTAACATCACGGGTTCTGGGAATTAGGATATGGACACACCTTTGGGGAGCCACCATTCAGCTCACCACACTAATCATTGCACATAAATGTACTTTTCACTTTTTAACGTACATCCTTGGTGCTCAAGCCAAATTCAAGGTTGTCTCTAACAGCTATTGTCTGCACAGGCTACTGCATGCTTTGATGTTAAATGGCTGAACAGGCTATTCTAAAATTCAGTTGATACTTTTGCTACTGTGGCCAATTAGCTTGAAAAAATAATTGGTTCCAACTCTGAGCTCTAGTGTATTTCTTCTGCCCCTTTTATGGAGTCTGACCAAATGTCTTGTATGATTCATAACACAGGCATAAAAACTACTTCTGCTAGAGAAGAGTTCTTTACAAGCTTGAATGGGTTTTGAGGGAAATTGTGCCCATACCAGGACACCCAGAAGTATTTCAGTAGCAGCAGAACTGTGGCCTCATGCTCTCATTTTGCCTTGGGAATAAACATCTGTCTCTTCACAGGACCAAGAATGACTTGCAATCTATATGTAATGCATACTTACTTATTCAATAAAATTAAGATACACATGAAATGTGCTGCTGCGTATGATAATTCATATTAAGGATGAGTGAAAAGGCACAAAGTGAAGTATCAAAACAGGATGTAAGAACATTCTAGAAGGAGAAGCTTCAACTGAACAGAAGTACAAGAATGTTTCTATAAGGCCTGGTCAGGTGGAAATGATGGGGTGAATTCAAAGACACACATCCCTGTGGGAATCATGAGATTGTCTTGAAATATTCCTTAGCGCTGCTTGCCAGAGTAGTGGAGAGGTGTTTGCACAACTTAAAAGTCCAGGTAGGTCAGAGGGGTGATTTACATCCTCCAGAGAAACTATTTCTACAGAAAAGGTGGGGGTTTTTTGTTTTGTTTTTGGTGGTTTTGTTTTTGTGTCTTGATTACGGAATGAAAGCAAATGGGCTCACATGCTCAAAGGGGTAAAAATCTGGAATAAGTAATAAAGGATTATAAATAATAATTCTCTGACGGGCTCTCCAAAAAAAAAAAAACCTCTCATCATAGCTGGGCTGACTTGAAGAGTGAGGGTTGGACAAGGTAATAACTGGGTCTATAAATCATATGATCCAAAGTACCTGGCAAGACCACTGGTTTGCCCCAGGAATCAAACACATTGGCTTTTTTTCCCCCGAGATACAAGTAGGCAAATTCTTTAGCAGGAGGTCTGAGAAATCGTATCCACAACCAGGGGGTTTTGAGCTAAGGCCAGGAGCTCAAAGGAAAGTGGAAATCTGGAAATTGATATATATGCAATGCATGTAACACGCTGTATAGTTTTGATTTATAATACAAAGAAAGCTATAGCCAAAGATTCCATTTACAGACTGAATTTATTTAGATGTCTAGAGTCCCAATACCACAAATAAAATACTGTTACACTTAGTATCCATTGCAGGGAAAAACAACTTGCAAATTCATGAATTATGCAAATCATGACTTTGTTCCTAGTTTTCGGAAATTGGCCAGAGTTCGATCTTTAGCCATGATGACCTTCTATTTTGGCTAATAGAGGTTCAGCCAATATTTTCACCTATATTTTGGCTAATTGAGATCCAGACAACATTTTCACCTTTTGATGTTTGTGAGCAAACACAAGCGCTATTATCATATGATTAGAAATAGTAATAAGCCCTGAACTTCTCTACTTTGTTATAGCCTCCAGTGTGGCTATTCTAATCATTCAGCACCCATTCAAGGGACATTGTTTTTCAGGACACACTTATGAATTAAGCATAGCTAATGCCTTCAGGGATGTCACAGTCTAGTAGGAGATGGGACAGGTACCAAAAAAACCATTGTAATTCAAGGTGGAAAGAAAATGAGCAGTGTCACAAGAGTAGTATATACAAGGCCTACGGGAGCTTAGAAAAAAAATCCGATTTAGAGAGGTGAGGTGAGGTAGGTATTAAGGTGGGAGGTAGCTATCAGTAGAGTTTTTGGAG